AGGCATGCACCACCATGCCCAGCTAATTTTTTGTATTTTTAGTAGAGACGGGGTTTCACCACGTTGACCAGGATGGTCTCGATCTCTTGACCTCGTGATCCACCCGCCTCGGCCTCCCAAAGTGCTGGGATTACAGGCTTGAGCCACCGCGCCCGGCCTGATGGTAAAGTTTCTAATGTTAAGGTTCTTATTTCCGTTTAGTTTCTTTGTTTGACTTTTTTTTTTTTTTCCCCCGAGACGGAGTTTCACTCTTATTCCTCAGGCTGGGGTGCAATGGCGCTAACTCAGCTCACTGCAACCTCTGCCTCCCAGGTTCAAGTGATTCTCCTGCCTCAGCCTCCTGAGTAGCAGGGACTACAGGCATACATCACCAAGGCTGGTTAATTTTGCATTTTTTAGTAGAGATGGGGTTTCTCCATGTTGGTCAGGCTGGTCTCGAACTCCCAGCCACCCTCAGGTGATCTGCCCACCTCGGCCTCCCAAAGTGTTGGGATTACAAGCGTCAGCCCCACACCTGGCCTGTTTGACTTTTTGATCTACCATCCTGATCACTTCTGGGCACTAATGTTTCTTACATGTTCATATACTGTATTATGTTGGGTATAGGCAAGACCGTAAATCATCTACCTGTTCCCTTAAAGTTGGTCTTCTATCTCCTTGGTCTTTAGAGACAGGGCCAGTAGTAAAAACACCCCTTTTACTGTGTAACATGTGTCCACAGTTTTATCTTAGGTCTAGAAAGAAGTCAGAGATGGAAGGTGCCCATCCACCTTAGAAGAGGAAATAACATAGATTAATTGCTCATATGTGGGTTTTTTGTCTCTTTTTTTAAAAAAAAAAAATTGAAATGATGGAAACTGAAATAAAGACTATACTTTCAAGGATCATTACTATAGTTTGTTACTCTAGAAGTTTCTCTGAAGGTGTAGAGCACCAAAAGATACAACACTGAGCTGTTTCAAATTTCGCTACTTTGATTCAGCAGGCTGCCATAATTAAAATCAAGGGTATCAGAACATGTTTATTTAGCATCTATGTCTCTGAAAAAGGAATAGTCCTGCAGGTTGGTGAATAAGGTCTAAGAGTTGTGAAGCTACAGAAACAAGATGCCAGATGATCCCTGAGACCTGCTTGTGATAATTAAATGATGCCGTAAAAAACCTCTTGATTTGTGGGGGTTGAGGGAGAAACTGAAATATAGTGTGTAAAGCATGACAATGCATGGTACATCCTATATGGACTCTCCCTATTTTAAGAAAACGAGCATTACCGTTATCTTATGCCCCCACCCTCCACTGCTTTCTTCTGTCCCTTTCTCCTCTTCCTCATTCTGGGTTTACTATTGCTTTTCTTCATAATTTTACCAAATTTGCATTTCGAAACAATGTATTGCATGATTTTGAACTGTTGATATGTGGAATGATAATGGATGTATACTTCTGTTACTTTTATTGCTCAGCATTCTTCAAATTGATCTGTGTTGTTGCAAATAGGTATACTTTATCTGTACTATTTCATTAGGTAAATTACCTCTCTACTCTTTATTCTCATTGCAGTGATTTTCTGAATTGCTGTAGGGGTGTTTTTTTCTTTTTCTATTATAGAGGGTGGCTATCCTTGTTTCCTGATTTGTATGTACTATAAGAGGTTCTCTAGGCTATATACCTAGGGATGAAATTGTTTAATTAAGGGCACATGCACGTCATTTTGACTAGATAATGCTAAATTGTAAAGTGTTCCTTCTTTTTGTAGTCCCATTGGCAAGAATAAAGATTCCCTTGGCAGCTGGGCGCGGTGGCTCATGCCTGTAATCCTAGCACTTTGGGAGTCTGAGGTGGGTGGATCACGAGTTCAGGAGTTCGAGACCAGCCTGGCCAATATGGTGAAACCCCGTCCCTACTATAAATATAAAAAATTAGTTGGGCATGGTGGTGCGCGCCTGTTGTCCCAGTTACTTGGGATGCTGAGGCAGGAGAATCGCTTGAACCTGGGAGTGAGCTAAGATCACGCCACAGTACTCCAGTCTGGGAGACAGAGTGAGACTCAGTCTCAAAAGAAAAAAGAAAAGATTCCTGGCCCAATTCAGTGGCTCATGCCTGTAATCACAGTACTCTAGGAGGCCAAAGTTGGTGGATCAGCTGAGGTCAGGAGTTTGAGACCAGCATAGCCAACATGGTGAAAACCCGTCTCTACTGAAAAATACAAAAATTAGCCGGGCATGATGATGGGTTCCTGTAATCCCAACTACTTGGTAGGCTGAGGTTGGAGAATCGCTTGAACACAGGAGGTGGAGGTTGCAGTGAGCCGAGATCACGCCACTGCACTCCACCTTGGGCGACAGACCAGGACTCTGTCTTAAAAAAAAAAAAAAAGATTCCCTTTGCTTCATATATTCAATAACATTTGAGATTATCATACATCTGAATGATTATTGATCTGGCCTGGCATAGTAGCTCATGCCTATAATCCCAGCATTTTGGGAAGCTGAGACAGACAGATTGCTTGAGGTCAGGAGTTTGAGACCAGCCTGGTCCACATGGTTGAAACCCTGTCTCTACCAAAAAATATAAAAATTACCAAGGCGTGGCCTGGTGTAGTGGCTCACGCCTATAGTCCCAGGACTTTGGGAGGTCTAGGTGGGCAGATCACGAGGTCAAGAGATCGAGACCATCCTGGCCAACATGGTGAAACCCCATCTCTACTAAAAATACAGAAATTAGCTGGGCATGGTGGTGCACGCTTGTAGTCCCAGCTACTTGGGAGGCTGAGACAGGAGAATCATATAAACCCAGGAGGCGTAGGTTGCAGTGAGCCGAGTTCGGGCCACTGCACTTCAGCCTGGGGTCAGAGCAAGACTGTCTCAAAAAAGTAAAAAAATACCAAGGCGTAGTGGTGCACTCCTATAGTCCCAGCTACTCAGGAGGCTGATTGGAGAACTGCTTGAACCCGAGAGGCGGAGGCTGCGGTGAGCTGAGATTGCATCATTGCACTCCAACCTGGGTGACAGAGTGAGACCATCTCACGCTCAGGTGCACGTGTGTCCGTGTGTGTGTGTGTGTGTGTGTGTGTGTGTGTGTGTGTATCTTGATCTGGATATTATAAAATGTTGGGTCATTGTGGGCTTAATATGCGTTACCTTAGTTACCAATGAAATTGCATATTGTTTCATGTGTTTGGCCATTGAGGTTTCTTCTGTGAAATTTGTGTTCAGGTTTTAAGACTATTTTTTTCAGTTTGTTAATTTGTATACTTGTCCTTTTATTTTCTTTATGGTATCCTTTGGACAAACTGAGGTTCTTATTTTTTTATTTTTTTAGACAGAGTTTTGCTCTGTTGCCTAGGCTGGAGTGCAGTGGTGCAATCTTGGCTCACTGCCGCCTCCACCTCCTGGGTTCAAGCAATTCTTGTGCCTCAGCCTCCCAAAGTGCTGGCATTATGGGCATGAGCCACCGTGCCTAGCCTGAGGTTCTTAATTTTAATGCAGGTGAATTGATTAGTCTTTTATGGATTTTACTTTTGATGTCTTAGCTAGAAATCCTACTTTTTTTTTTTACCACCAAAAATCTGTTTTGTTTTGCCTTTCATATTTGTGTTGAATCCACTGAAATTGATTTTTGTGTATGATGTGAGGTAAAGGTTGAACCTCATTCCCTGTGCATTTCTCCCCGGTGTATAACTGTTGACTAGACCACGTATTGACAAGTCCTGCCTTTCACCATTGGTATACAGTGCCTGTTATGTCATAAAATCATATTTCCAACACATCAACCAGTAGGTGTTGATCTATTTTGGGCATTATTTTTCAGTGGTTGGTTTGTTTATCCTTGAACTAGTGTAATACTATCTTAATTTTAATTTGTTATTTTTGTGATTAAATGTATCAAATGCAAAGCTGCAAGTCAGAAGTAAAGCCAAAGTCTGTCCACCATTTATCCTATTTTTGTGTTTTATATCTATAGTTTCCAGAAAAAATTTAGATGTGCTTTTAGATCTCCTTATTATAACCAGAAGTGATCCCCTTTAGTAGCAGATACACCATGCAGTCTAAAAATTTTTCCTATTTTCACCGTCTTTTTTTATTTGCTCAGTAAGGAAGGAAATGCCTCAGTAAGTACCTAAACCAGTCATTAGTTTGGGAGCTGCACTTTGGGAGGCTGAGGTGGGTGGATGGAAGTTTGAGACCAATGTGGTGAAACCCCTTTCTACTAAAAATACCAAAAAAATTAGCCGGCATGGTGGCACATGCCTGTAATCCCAGCCACTTGGGACACTGAGGCAGGAGAATCACTTGAACCTGGCAGGTGGAGGTTGCAGCAAGCGGAGATTGCACCACTGCATTCCAGCCTGGGCGACTCTCTCTCCAAAAAAAGAAAAAAAGAGCTTCAGTGAGATTGGAAGCAGAGCACGACTCTATTTGGATGGTTAGGATAGAGGTTTAGAAGTAGGTTGCTGGTGACATTGCAAGTCTCCAGAGTAGAGATACAGATCCTTTTGGCGTAGAGAGCGGTACTTACCAGGGCCAAGGACAGCAGCTTGGAGACTGCACATCGAGGGGACAGGAGGAAGAAGTGGAGAGTGGCTTGGTAACACGCTGGAGAGTTAGGAGAGTGAGTTGTCACAGAGAGCTCAGAAAGGAGGTTGGTGTTAGTGCTTACCAGTCTCATGGTAGAAGAGGAGCAGCACTGTCCCAGTTTGGGGGGAAAAGTCAGCCGATTGGTGACAGGGCAGGAGTACACTGGGTGGCTGTGCAGGGTGATTTAGAACTTTTGGAAGCATTTGTATGAAGGGTAATGGGGAGAACTTCCTTGATACTAGCTATTTTCCTCGTGGTGAAGATCATTGAAATACTTGCCTGTGAGTGAAGAATTACTTTTATTTTTGTCATTAACATCAAAAAGTGACTTCTATTTGAGAGCACACTGGTCTGTTTTGTATTTTTTCAGATCTTTTTAAAAGATTAGATTTGGTAGCCATATGGAAAATTAAGGACTTGATTCTAGTTTTAGAAAATTAATAAATGAAACCAGACATTCAAGTTTTTTTTTTTTTTTTTTTTTTTTTTGTATTTTTAGTAGAGGCAGGGTTTCACCATGTTAGTCAGGCTGGTCTCGAGCTCCTGACTGCGTGATCTGCATGCCTCGGCCTCCCAAAGTGCTGGGATTACAGGCGCGAACCATTGCGCCTGGCAAGATATTCAAGTTCTTTGGAGGTAAACAAGCTCCAGATTTTTAGGATAAAAAAGCAGGAATAATTATGAGAAAATTTGAGGCAAATGACAGATGGAATTGATATAATTTCAATGAATATTGAAACCTCAATTCTACAAAGTGGAAATGCTTACAAAAAAATGTAAATGACTGTTTCAAGACAGCACTATTTATTTGGAGTATTATGCAGGTAATTAGTTTTCACTTTTTTTTTTTTTTTTTTT